GGACGTCACCCGAGTGCCACGGTGGGAGGCGAAGGGGGGCGGGGTGGTGACGTGCGGCATGACAGCAGTTCCAGGCCCCGCCCCCTGGCCATGAACGTCACCACCCTGCCCCCTTTGTCTCCTGCCATGGCACTCGGCTGACTTCTGTGCCGCTCAACCAGGCCGCCGCGTGGGACCAAGTGGCGCAAGTGACCGTTTGGGCTCCGTGCTCCCCATGCAGCATGGGGAGTGCCAAGCCCAAATGGCCGTTTGGGCTCTGCGCTTCCCCAAGTGAGAGGCAGGAGGGGGAGAAGAAGAGAAAGAGGGAGAGGCAGGAGGCAGAGGAAAACAGAGAGAAAGGGGGAGACAGTAGGAGAAGGAGAAAGAGAGAGAGATGGAGCGAGAGACCGGAGGCTCAGGAGAGCAGACCGATGTAGAGGAGAGACCTGAATATCCCGTCTTATGACGGGCTAATTGGCTAGTTTCAGAATAACATCCATTATTCTGAAATAACGCTGCTGCGTAGACGCATCCAAAGCAGTTGCAGAAGTCTTAGAGGGAGATTGGTAGCTTTTCTTTCATTTTTTAATGTGGACACAAAGTTTGTCTGATTTTGAAGAGGCTAGATTTTTAGTTACTTGCACTAACATACAGAGGAAAATAGAGAAATCTGCTGTAAAATATGTAATCTATGTATATTTCTTTATACACAGGGCAGTTAAGGAACTTTAGAGTAAGTATTCTTTGGTTTGCTGATCTCTGCACACCACAAGTGATAAAGGTTTTCTCAAAGTCAATCATGAAATTCAACAGTTTTACTTTTTTTTTCCTTTTCTTGCTGGAGATTGGTTTTGTTTGATTGCATCTTCCCTTCCCCCCTGCCCGTCCACCGGCAATTCGTTCATTTGGTTTGTTTACTGCTGGAGAGAAAACAATGACATGTATATGGGTTTTAACTTTGATTTAAATTACCTCCAGGTTTCTTATGGAGAATTAAACCACCTCTGTCACTAGCACTTCAATGATCCTTTTATCAGTTCTTGGGCCTCTCACTGTGCAGGGAGCCCAATAACGTTAGGAAGATATTTGGGCCTTCTCCTACTGGCATTCTTCTGTCATTCAGGTAGTAAATTGAGCGTGGTTCTCAAACCACAGCTAGCACCACCATCAAGTGTATTAGCAGGATTAGTCCCCTAGGATAGTACATGACTCCTTCCCCTCCCCGTAAAGCTTGCTGTGCATGCTTCATGCTAGGAAGAGGAGTCTGTCACTTCCACAGTTTAAGACAGGAGATACACTAAGACCTGGTATCCTGCCTTTGAAAATCATTCCACCTGTGAAAGTGATGTGTTGAGGCCTACCCAGAATATGTCAAACAAGTACCAGTTTAATTGTAAGTGGAAAGGAAAGGCAGCATTGTCAGATACAGGAGATAAAAATAAAAACAAAATTTGATTGGTTAACCAACAATAACCCTGCTTTTAGGGAAGTAAGTACCTCACACAGCAGTATGCAACAAAAGTGCTGGTTACCCCAAAATGAGCAGACGAAAGTTTTTTGTAAGGACAGAATGAGACAACAAAAATCTAACGTCAGCAATTGTCAGGCGAGTGGAGGAGTACCAAAATACCGAAACAGGGTATATAAGATTGGTTGAAACAGACCAAGAGCGGACGGTTTGCGAATCCGAAAAGCCAGGTCTGATCAACCAGGTCTCCCTCCCCGGCGCTGAATCTTGCTGCAGCACATAAGCTCCGAAAGGAGAACAAATAAGCTCCGAAAGGGGAACAAACACCTTGTTGCAACAAAAAATCCAAAGAAAGGAAAAACAAAGAAAAGAATATCTCCTGAATCTAAGCTATGCTTCTATCTTTCTTAACGTGAGTATTATATATTTGTTAACTCCATAAATTGTTTAACGGTAACTCAGGAGGGTATATCTGTAGGAGAAGTTATTTTTTCTTGTTTTTTTTTTCAACTGTACTGTTTTTCTACTTTTTCTTTGTATATTATATTGTCTTAAAAGAATCAAAAATAGTGAATTGATTTAAATGGAAAATTAATTATAAAGTAAATAGAAAAAATAAATAATCTTTGTTTGACCCTAAAAAGAAGTATTCCTCTGTCTGTGGTTTCAAATCCTTTAAAGAACCAAACCCGGTTACCGAAACCACCAAGACAAGTTAAGTACATTCCAGTTCCAGTCCGGGAATACAGACAAGCCTTCTGTTCAGATGTCAATGTGCACATTCTACAAGTATTGAACCATTTGTGCAAGTAAGACTCCAACCCAAGTGTGGCCCTACTCAGCTCAGCATGAGGTTTGTATCGCCCACTTCAGGACACACAAGGACAACATAGAAGAAATTCCAAAACTGAGCCATTTTCCACATTCAGGAATCTTTTAATGATTGTTCAGTTCAGTGAGTGACTGGTGCTCTCGCACTGGAGCCAGTCTCCGTGTCCATGAAATGCCCATCTCCCTGGAAGAATCGTGCACTGGCACTAACCAATATGCTTAAACAGGTTTTGTATACAAGGACAGAGACAGCTCCATTTACAACTTTTTAAGGCATAGCGTAATTAGTCAGGCATTGGCTGTAAGAGGAGAGAAGGGGGTAAGCGCCCACCTCCATTAATGCTTTGCCTTGGGGCCTCAGTTAGGGCTCAGGGGATTCTCCTTTAGATTCTCCCATTTAACAGACAGGTCTACAGCCCAGCAAAGCCGAAGTCTGCACATCATCATGCTTTGGAAACACGGCTTAGGCCAGGTCTACACTAGACCTGGAAGGTCAGCTTAAAGTACACAATTCCAGCTACATAGAATACATAGCTGTAGTCAGCTTCCAGCACCCACACAGCAGCAGGCCAAGAGGAGCAAATGCTCCAGTAGGCTTCCCTTACTCCTCGGGACAGCGAGGAATACAGGCACCAGCTGGAGCTTCCCTCACTGTTTGACTTACAGGTCTAAATCAAACCCGCTAAATCAAACGCCAGAATATCTATCTCCAGTAGGGTGAGTGCAGACATTCTCTTAGTGTCTCATAATCATGGAGATACGGAAAACATTGGCACTGTCTTGTTTATCAATTTTTCTAGCATGATTGAGATGCTAACATAGAGGTGATTCCTTGGTGCAAAGCAAAGTCACATTAGTTAGATAGGCAAGGAGAAGTCTCTGGAGACATTCCATCAAGACAATGAAAATTAAAAATCAGAGTTCTGCAAAATCTCACATAGAAGCCCCTTCCCGCAGCTCATACCAGTGTCTGATCAGTGTGCAGTTCTCATAAGGCTTTCCAAGCACCTTTCCCTAGATGATCTATTCAATCCTTTATTGTTTTGGTTTCCTTTGAGAAGCATGGGGATAGATATTTGCCTCCTAATCACAGGTGATTGTCCTCCCTTGCTTACTGTACATTAGAATGTAAAATGGGACAAAGACTCCTCCCCTTATGCTTGAGTTAGGGGGTGCCCTAATATATTTGGTCAGGGAAGGGATACTCTTCAATGGATATCTCATTATTGCAGACCACATCTCAGAGGGACAAAGTCACAAGCAATGTCAGCACCAGACATACTGATGGACATATTGCCAGTGAATGATGGTTTCCATTTTTACTTCCAGAAATTCCAGTTTCTATATTGTGCATACATTCAGTCTTCAAGGATGGCTAGTGTCCCAGTGGAGATGAGGGAGAGAACACAAACACAGGTGAAAACTCAAATAGAAAGCAATTCTGTACCAGAAGCAAGAACCCAGCCAAGGAATGTAAAAAAAAACTAGCTCCAGAACAGGATGATTAATCTAGGCACCCCTCTGCCTTGCCTAGGCAGTGAAAATCCACTTCCACCAGTGGGGAAAGTAAAGTCCCAAGGTAGCATTTGGCTTCTGATTACCACCAATCACAGGTGATATGATTCTCTAGAAGTCAGTCATGAAATATACAAAATTTTACTTTTATATCCACTTCTTGTTTTTTGACTTGCTTTGTTTTTGTTGCTGCGGATTGTTTTCTCCTTCCTCCACCCTCTCTGTCCCCTTCCCACTCCCTCTCCCGCTCCCGGCTTACTTTTGAAGTTGCATCATTGTGACCTAAAAGAGTAATTTTTTTAAAGGGGGGGAGGGAGTAGAAAGAGTTGGGGACCTTATTGTGATATAACAAATATTATATAAAGAGAACCCAAGGAAAGTTGCTTGCTTGCTAGTTTTTGCGCTTTTGTTGTTGTTTTAAACCTTACTTGTTTTCTACCTTTAAAAATCTTTTTTTTTTCATTTTAAAATAATGTAATATTTACAGATAATCAAAATAGTGATTTATTATTTATATAAGAGTTTACAGTATAAACAAAAAGTAAATATAACCACACGTGGTTAATGGTATCTCAGAATTTAAATAAAGATGTTTGTAATATAATTTATTAGCATCACATTTTTTTTGTGCATTTTCTACTTTTTAATCTCAGCCCTTTTTTCCATGTATCAACAAAAAATGTTCACAGGATTTGTCTCAATCCTTGATTGAAGGGGCAAAAGTGTTGGCTTTTCAATAAATTATGAGGGTTTTTTATATTTCTTATTCTTATGTATCACCAAACAATGCCTTCTTCAGACATTTATTATAGATCTTTAAATTCCCTTTCAAAACAAGTCAGCAGAGTTGTTGAATCGAGTCCGACTTAAGTTGCCTAGGTGACTCGACTAGAGACTCGACTCAGATTCATTGTTTGTGACTTGAGACTCGACTTGAGACCTGCAAATTTTGTTAAATCGACTTAGTGAAAAAATTGTCCGAAAATGCTGATATTGATGGCTTGTACAAAAGTGACTTGACATTTTTTAAATTAAGACTTGACTTGGATTTGACAATGACAGCTTGAAGACAATACTGCAAGTCAGTAAACAAAAAGCTTTGCGGTAAATGGTATTTATGTATATAGTAATTAAGCACATGTATTTTCAGGATGTAGTCCCAGAAAATCCTAATAAACTTTGTAAGCATAAATAAAAAAAGAAAGGTGATTGAAACAGTAAACACAGTTTGTATATAAGATTCTTCACTCCATATTATATTGATAACATCACTTAAGGATTTTAGAGCAGGATTTTCCTCAAAACCATTGAGATGTGGCCTGTTTCAACTGCATTAACTGGTAAAATCCTAGTTTATTTACTTCAGTTGGAACTGAGTTAGGTTATATCTGAGTTATTTTGACAAGTCCAACTTCCCCTTTCAATAATTGCATGATGAAACTGAATTACTAAAGGACTGCGTCTTGACTGGCAAGTTTTTCCGCAAAAGCATCTGCTTTTGCGGAAAAACTTGCCAGCTGTCTACACTGGCCGCTTTGAATTTGCGCAAGAACACTGACAATCTAATGTAAGATTGTCAGTGTTCTTCCGCAAATACAATGACTCTCCCATTCGGGAAAAAGCCCTCTTGAGCAAATGCTTTTGCACAAGAGGGCCAGTGTAGAGAACTGAGAACCGTTTTGTGCAAAAAAGCCCCGATGGCGAAAATGGCGATCAGGGCTTTCTTGCGCAAAACCGCGTCTAGATTGGCACGGACGCTTTTCCGCAAAAAGTGCTTTTGCGCAAAAGTGTCCGTGCCAATCTAGATGCTCTTTTCCACAAATGCCTTTAACGGAAAAACTTTTCCGTTAAAAGCATTTGCGGAAAATCATGCCAGTCTAGACGTAGCCAGGATGTATGCAATGAACATTTACTGTGGTTAAGAAAAAAGGTCAGTTTTCTAGAAAAGGTCAGTTTTCTAGGGTACAAGAAAGGAAATCACTGCATATTCTGTTTACAAAATTAAAACAAATGAATCCAACAGTGGGTTTTACTTAAAATTTATACAATTTATAATGCAGAGAAAATAGATCAAATAGACTAAACTATTGCTATAACTCTTGACTGAAAATGTAAGGGCTCTGATCTTTCGATCTGAAAGTGTAGGATAACAGGATTCAAGTATGGCTCAGTGATGACTTATTAGAAAATATATATTATAAAATCAACTCCCTACAATTCCATAATAAAAAAGTAGATGTCTACTTTGAAAAAAACTTTGATTAATGTATTAAATCGTTACATTTTCTTATCTTTAATAATATTACTATTCAGTATTGAATGTACCTACATTTATTATCATAACTACCCTGGTTAGATATCAAAAAGCAAATTTTCATCTTGATTAGTAATAGCTAGTGGTGTTGAATCTTTGTTTTATGTGACACACACAGTTCATGTAAAACAAAAGGAACTACCAAGTGTGATCTTACTAAGCCAGTATCCTGAAAGCACACATATGGGACGTATTTAATTTTAGTCACAAGAAGTCAATAGGAAAGAAGGGTGAGAGGTTAAGATCTGGTACCATTGAAGTCAAGGTCAATAAACTCATTAACTTCAATAAAGCTAGTTATTCCCTTGCTCACTAGTCCTGAAATGAGGTACACAGAGGCAGACCTCTGTGGCCCACATTATGACATCATTATGTCATTTTAATCTTCACCTATTATTCTTAAAAAGGATTTCCATATTTATTGCGTCTCAAATACTTTCACATAGAATTTGTGCAGCGTACAATTTTAACTCAGCAGCCACCACTGTAAATTCATCACTAATTCTGAAAAACTGTTATATAGTTTTGTTTTCTCTTCTCAATGATCATCAACTATAATGAATATTCCACAACTGAAATTATTTTCTTAATTGTGCTATCTCCAATTTATTATTACAGTTCAAATTTGTGTAATGTCATGAATCTACAAAGGGGATAATTGAAGCCACAGGTTTCATTTTTCATCATAAAAGATGATAGGGATGATGAACAAAGGAAAGAACTCAAGGTGGATTTTGGATCTCACTGGGAAGTGTTTTAGGTGAGAATGGGGGAAGAAAGATGGAAACAATTTCAAAAAGTAATCTGTAAACTGGATTAATTTAACCTCAGGTTTATAGATAGATAAATATGGAACTTTAATACTTTTCACAAAAGTGCTATTTAAAGTACATTTAATTTGTGTTTAAACTAATTTCTTTTTACTTTAATCTCTCTTTCAGAAATAGATCACAAAGATTCACAGGGCTCAGGCTTTGTGTCCTCCATAATATAAGCAGCTATAAACCATTATTGAATTTTAAACTAAAAGCTAGAACCATTTTTTAAGACTGTCCCTACAGTGAAACATTTGCAACTATTAGTTCTGACTATTGGTGTGTAAATTGTTTTTGATTGGTTGGAAAATATAACAGCCAATGGTGACATGGTATCTGAAGCAGACCAATTATGAAGTAGTATGTGTTGGTGCTATCATGTCTCTCTCTTGTATCAAATAGGAATTCGGATTGAAAAAGCTACTCATTTGCATACATTCCCTATAAATAAAAGTGTAGCTACAGTCTATAAGCTATGGTCCTTGAGCTACCACAAGCTACTAACATGCCAGAGCCAGCAAAATCTGCACCTGTTCCCAAAAAGGGCTCTAAGAAAGCTGTGACCAAGACTCAGAAAAAAGGGGATAAGAAAAGGAAAAAGAGCAGGAAGGAAAGCTACTCTATCTATGTGTATAAAGTGCTGAAACAAGTTCACCCAGACACCGGTATTTCTTCCAAGGCCATGGGCATCATGAACTCCTTTGTAAATGACATTTTCGAGCGCATTGCGGGGGAAGCCTCTCGCTTGGCTCATTATAATAAGCGCTCAACCATCACTTCCCGTGAGATCCAGACTGCAGTGCGTCTGCTTCTGCCGGGGGAGCTGGCCAAACATGCGGTGTCTGAGGGCACTAAGGCTGTCACCAAGTATACTAGTTCTAAGTAACTTAAACTTTTTCAGCCATAACCCAAAGGCTCTTTTCAGAGCCACCCATCCTCTCAATGAAGGAGCTTTATTACTAGTTTCTTTCTCTTTGCGGAACAATTCGTGTATAGAAAGCAGGATTTTGTTTTCAAAAGCACACTAAATACAGCTTTACTAAAAATAAAACTTTATTTACTCTTTCAGTTACTACTTTCCTGAGTGTTAGGGGGTAGCTGAGTTAGTCTGTACAGGATAAACAAAAATCAAATAGTCTGGTAGCACTTTAAAGACTAACAAAACATGTAGATGGTATCATGAGCTTTTATGGGCACAACCCACTTCTTCAGATCACAAGAGTGTTGGATGTCCACAACTAAAATAAGGGGGGGGGGAGAGAAAAAATGGGAGGAGGGAACAAGAAGAGGCCGTGGTTATAAAAATATCAAGGGGAAAGCTGAACTGGAATGTAACAGGAAAAACAAATAGTCTATAAAAGCACCTAAAGCCTGGATGCTTATAGACTATTTGTTTTTCCTGTTACATTCCAGTTCAGCTTTCCCCTTGATATTTTTATAACCACAGCCTCTTCTTCCCTTCCCTTATTTTAGTTCTGGCCATCCAACACTGGTCATCTGAAGAAATGGTCTGTGCCCATGAAAGCTCATGATACCATCCACATGTTTTATAGAAATAGAGAGGTAGCTGTGTTAGTTTTTCCTTTTTGTTTTTGCAAGATCAGACTATGTAGCACTTTACAGACAAACAAGATGGTTTAATAGGTGATGAGCTTTCCTGGGTCTCCACTTCCTCAGCTCATATGTTTTGTTAGTCTGGTAGCACTTTAAAGACTATTTGTTGTTTTTTAAGTTTACTTTCCTGTGGTTGGTTAAACAGAGTGGTAAAATGTTAATTGATTTCTAATATATTCCACACCAAGAACAAAAGACAACCTTCTAGCACTACAGGCATCTGTTTGATCTAGTCTCCAGTGCCTATCATAGATGAAATACTATAGAGCAGGTAAGTGAGGATAAAGTCTCTGACGTTTAAACTAGCTTGATTCCTCCAGCTCCTAATTTGAGGAATGCTCCAGAGTCTTTTATTGACTACTTGGAGTTAGAACTGAGCAGTTAAAAGCCCAGGATAATTTTCAATTTCTATTGTTTTAATTACAGAGCTCCTTTTAGCATACTATTACTGTATATTCCTAATAAAACATTCTACAATTCTCAGTATCATAACTTTCTGCAAGTTACAGCTAATGCATGGAGATTGCTTTAGGGATTTTTAACCATTAGGAAAATAAGAGGGCTGCTCTTACTAGCGAAAAAGAATAATCTTGCTAGATATACTATACAACTGAAAATCCCGAATGAGAGGTTTTCAAGGTATGGAAGAGATTGAAAACTGGTTGGTGAAAAATCACATGTAGTGTGCTGAAAAATGCGTTGGAAGGCAAGGATGCCTTGTTTTCTGATCAATGGATGTGACGACTTTCGAATGAGTCAGTTATGGAGTGTTATTTCTTCCTACTTGGTGTTTACAAACCTTGGTATTCTATGGTTCCTCATCCTATATGCCCTCTTTATAAATGCTTTAAAAGTCGTAAATGGCATGATGGTTCACTACATCATTATTGGCTGGCGAACTGAAAGGAAAAAGTGACGTAAGATGAAGTAGGCGCGCATAGGCGTTGAACGGGCGGTTGTACCTACGAGGGGTTGTGCAGGAAGATAAAAAGATATGCACGCTGTGGATCAAGTCAAGGGTGAAGACAGAACTCGGAAACACCCCTTCAAGGCTACGAGTTCAGATTTATACGTTTATAGCAGCGTAAAATGCCCGGGTGGGAAATTGACCAATCCTTGCACAGCGCGGGCTTTTCAAACTCTCCACTAGCTTTAGTTGGCTGCGGTAAGTAGTCACGTAACTGTTTGAGCCAAAACATTTATTACCCCTCCACTAGTTCTCTCCTACCCTTATCTGTTTGCAGAATAAAGGATCGGCACACCCCTTAGAAATAAACCGTGTCCGACTCCTGTCCCAGCCGAAAACCGACTCTTTGCAACATACTAACAAATGCACAGGATGGGAAGAGAGGATGCCCAAGGGGAGCAAGGTATTAGAAACAGTATCCAATAAGATTTTTTTTTTAGCCTTCAAGACAAGTTAACTTCAGTGATAGCATTAGTCGCAAAGGAGGAAAGACTTGTTGTACTGTTAGCATGAACATTTCAGCTCCTTTTGGAAAAGGTGGGTGGCTCTTAAAAGAGCCGTTGGGTTTGTTTGCACGGAGTTAGACTCTTTTTAAGTCCCTTCACTTCTTCTTGGGCGCTGCCTTCTTAGCCTTACCTGCTTTAGGCTTGGTTGGTTTGGGCTTGGCAGCCTTGGGCTTCACCGCTTTGGCCTTAGCCGGGCTCTTAGCTGCCTTCTTGGGCTTGGCAGGTTTAGCCTTTTTCGGGCTCTTGGCTACTTTCTTGGCCGCGGATGCCGCTGGTTTCTTGGCTTTCTTCGGGCTCTTTTTCACGGCCGCAGCCTTTTTGGGTTTCTTGGCGGCGCTGGCGGGCTTCTTGGCAGCTGGCTTTTTAGGCTTTGCCGCGGGCTTCTTCTTGGGTGCCTTTTCCTTGGTCTCTCCCGGCTTCTTGTTCAGTTTGAAGGAGCCCGAGGCGCCGGTGCCTTTGGTCTGCACCAAAACGCCCTTACTCACCAAGCTCTTGAGCCCCAGCTTGATGCGGCTGTTGTTCTTCTCCACATCGTATCCGCCGGCGGCAAAAGCCTTCTTGAGAGCGGCCAAAGAGAGCCCTTTGCGCTCCTTGGAAGCGGACACCGCCTTGGTGATCAGCTCAGTCACGCTGGGACCGGAAGACTTACGGGCTTTGGAACCGCCTGCCGCTTTCTTCGGCTTTTTAGCAGAGGTTTTTGTCCCAGGAGCGGACACAGCAGGAGTGGCAACAGGCGCAGTTTCCGACATTGTAGCAGACGTTTCCTACGAATCAGAAGAAAACAATTGGGCTAGAACAGGTCAGATGCCTGGTATTTATAGAGAAGAGCCACTCTGTGATTGGTGCGTTAAAGATCCCGCCCAGCTGCAAGCCAGAAAGTGCTCTTCTTCCCGTTCAGTTTGTGTTTCTTGGGAGTCAAAAAAGTGTGTTTTTTGCAGTATATCCGCCACCGAATCACCCCCACTTTATAGCCCGGTGAAGGGGAAAGAGGGTATTTTCATTCAGTAGAGTTTCCCTCTGGAGAAACAAGAGGTGCGTTTAAAAAGAGTCAATAAACCGTGAGTCCTGGACCTGGCGAGACCTCGGGAAAGAGAAACTTTTGTTTTTCCTTCTAAATAAAAACTGCATCGTACACAATGAAATGTCCAAAGTAATGAAACATTATTCTTTAAAGGGTCTTCTCCCAAACAAGGCTCAAAGCCAGAAATTTGAATCGAAGTTTTCATAGTAAATTGATTTCAAAGAGAAGGAAGTAACACAAACTCGTCCCTGAGCGTTGAATATGGATTAGAAATTAGCTTCTTTGACCAACATCTTTTACCCTTCTTAAAACATGAAATGTTAAATTAGTGAACCCTGGAACAATGCGAGGAGCAGATTGAAGTCCCATGAGGGACTGTTGATACCCTAAAAGTCGACGACTTGTTAAAGCAGAGCCGTTTCATAGTGGGCTGCTCTGTGTACAAATACACAGCTGCTTGTTACAATCTTATTCCTGTGTTACAGGAACATTCATTATCCTAGTACACAAGCTGATAGTTTATAATAAAACCTCGCCAATAATTCTTCCACTTAAAGTTACTATTTGGGATATATTAACATTCATTACGCAACACTGTGCTTCTGAATTGATCCAGTACCAACTTTTGAAATCCTGATCCATTGTCTAAAGGGGCACGGCTGTTGCTACGGTCTCTTCATTCTTGTATATTACAAACTTCGGCAAATTGTCACTGACATTTATGTTTGCTTTAGGACTAGATAATAGCATATTAATCACTAATTGAACGGTGTGTATTTTATATTAATTAGGAATAATAAATTATAGAAACAACCACCATACAAATCTCTCTTTACACAAAAGAAGGTTTGATGCAAATTTGGAGAACGAAACCATACAATAAAAATTTTAATACACACAAGGAAAGAAACAAAAAATCCAGAGCCCTTGCACAACGGGCAAGGACATATTCCTTTATTAAAAGGAGACTCATTTAAAATCACACATTGTTACAAGATTCAGGACAATGTAGCACTTTAAAGACTAACAAGATGCTTTATTAGATGATGAGCTTTCGTGGGCCAGACCCACTTCCTCAGATCAAATAGTGGAAGAAAATAGTCACAACCATATATACCAAAGGATACAATTAAAAAAAATGAACACATATGAAAAGGACAAATCACATTTCAGAACAGAACAGAATTGTATCCTTTGGTATATATGGTTGT